TTTAAAAAAAGAAACAATTAAAATCAATTTACTAAAAACAATATAAAATACCATAAACATATAAAAGTATGTGCTTTAGCCATGTATTTAACTTTTATATGTTTATGGTGTTTTATATTGTTTTTAGTAAATTGATTTTAATTGTTTCTTTTTTTAAAAAAATGAAAAATTATTGTCACACACACACACACACACACCCTATTCAAAGCCTCTCTGACAAAGAAATCAGGAGCGCTTTGGATGTTCTTCTTCGGCTGCATCTGCACTGCAGAAATAATCCAGTTTGACATCACTTTTAACAGCCTGGGCTTAAAGGTCCCATCCACACTGCAGAAAGAATCCAGTTTGAGACTGCTTTAACTTCCCTAGCTCGGTGCTAGGGAATCCTGGGAATTGTAGTTTATTGTGGCACCAGAGCTCTCTGACAGAGAAGGCTCAATGTCTCACAAAACCAGTTCCCAGAATTCCGTAGCATTGAGCCAGGTCAATTCAAGCGGTCTCAAACTGGATTATTTCTGCAGTGTGTTTCGGATCATAGTTGCCCCTGGCTGGCAGAATGCTTTGGATGCTTAGGTCTGCTCTAAAAGGTTGGGTTTGAATGTGTAAGTATTCTGCAATGTTAGCACCGTTGTTGAGCCAGCATGGCATAGTAGTTTGAACGTTGGACTATGACTCTGGAGACCAGGGTTCGAATCCCGGCTTGGCCATGAAACCCACTGGGTGACCTTGGACAAGTCACACTCTCTCAGCCTCAGAGGAAGGCAATGGCAAACCTCCTCTGAAGAAATCTTGCCAAGAAAACCCTGTGATAGATCCGCCTTAGGGTCACCATAAGTCAGAAACAACTTGAAGAACAACAATAGTGCCGATTATGGTTGGCGCTTCTTCCCCTCCGTTGCCGCCACCACCACCACCATAAAATTATAATATCATTTTATATATAAAAATATAAATATATTTATTTTTATATATTTTATAAAAAAATATATAATTATATACATATATAAAAAATATAAAAAAAATCTTTAACACTTTTGTAGCAAGCAAGGCACAACATGGCCTTCTCCCTGATGGAAATATGCATCTTTGGCTATTCGAATTTGGCGATCGCAAACAACGAATATATATATTTTTATATTGTTTAAAATAATTTACCATAATTTTGCAAATGTTTTCATACTTCGGATGGAAAGAACATGAGGTCTTTTTTAAAAACTGCAATTCCCGGGATTCCCTAGCATTGAGCCAGGGCAGCTCAAGCACTCTCAAATGGGATTATTTTAAAAAGACCTCTCAATAAATAAAAAATAAAATAAAATAAAACTTTTATTTGTATCCTGCTTTTCTACTATAATAGCAATCAAGGCGGCTTACAGGTTCAAACAAACCAATAGTAGATTCCCTTTATTGATTACATCAACAATGCATTGCAATATCCTCAACATTTTCAACACCTTACACAAGACTCTGGTTAAATGCTTTAATGTGTAGCCTGATTTTTGTCTGATTTTTGTCTACTTATTTTTATTTATTACTGTATGTTAGTTTGATCTACTTGGTTTTAATGGATATTGGTTTAATACGCTTTTATGGAGGAGGGTGGGGGGTTCGGGTTTTTAGATTGTACTGGTGTATTTTTAATTGTTGTAAGCCGCCTCAATTGTTTTAACAGAGGGGCGGGGTATAAATTATTATTATTATTATTATTATTATTATTATTATTATTATTATTATTATTACAATACATGATAATATATCTAAAAAAGAATTAAACTTAACACAGTTTAAAAATATATATAAAATCTATTAAAAACAAATGGTCTATTGGGCAGAGAGGCAGCAAGACATTCGTGGCTGCAAATCTCCTTGTGGACATGGAAAGCAACAACGCAGCCTGGACAAAAGATGAATATTACATCAGGGGAGATTCCCTAGTAGGGTTGCCAGATGTCCCTTGTTTTAAAAACCATCCCTTGTGTAAAAGGATTGTCTGTTACTTATCATCCTGGCCACAATGCACTTAATGGGGAAGGATTTCATATTGCACAGATGCTGCTCTCTGTGGAATGCCAGATAGATTAACGTATCACATACATGGATTAAATTAATGTTTTTTATAGCCATTTGATACCCTTTTTTGAGACAGAGGGAGAAACCGAGGAAGTATTTCCACCATGGCCAGTTCAGTCTGCGGATTTGTTTGCTGTCCGCGCCTGGGATCCAAGACTCAAAGCACTGTGCGACGCTCATTCCTGCAAAGAAATGTGTCTCCCTATGAAATTTAAGTGATTTAAATCATAGATCTGGTAAGTTAGATTACAAAAGAGAAGGATTTGAAGACAATGAAAATGAGTTAGACAAACCAATATGGAAAAATGGTCTTTGTCTTAAGTACCCCGTAAATGAGGAAGATCTAAGCTATACAGAGATAGAGAAGAGAAAAAAAGAAGAAAGAAAAGAAAAGAAGAGAAGAGAAGAGAAAAGAAAAGAAAATAAAAGAAAAGAAAATTTAGAAAAGTAAAGCTGAAGTGCTATATATACCGTATATAAAACCCTTTTTCTCTATTCTCCTTAAATCAGACATTTGTGTTTTTGGTTTTGTTCTATCTTGTTTTGTTTTGTTGTTTAATATATGTGTTATATTTATCTTATAAGACACTGCTATATATGTAAGATATGATTATTCGATGTTTGATGTTATGTTTGTTGGTATTAATAAATTTTAAACTTAAAGAAAAAAAGAAAAAGAAAAATGGTCCAAAACTGATCAACATTGTATGGTGTATTGTTAAAAAAGAGAATTAGAAGAGAATATCGTGAAAGAAACAAGGATTAAGTGGCCAACGGATATTGGAAGAGACATCAGTCTGGAAAGTTGGGAGTTAGCCAGAAGAAGAACACAACAATTTACTAGATGTCAGGACTGAAAAGAAAACTATTATAAAATGGAAAATCGATGCTATCTAACCCCAGTAAAATTAGCAAAAATTTGCAAGACTTGTGGGAATAAATGCTGGAGGTGAAAGAGTGCTGTGGGTAGGTGGTACCATATGTGGTGGAATTGTAATCTAATTAAATCTTATTGGAAAAACATTCATAGAGTGATATGTGAAATTCCTGAAATTAATTTTAAACCGTCACCAGAACTATATTGAGTATGCTCAATAAGGTACCAAAAGAAATTGAGAAGAAATATAGCAGATTACTGTTATATATGATCACAGCGGCGAGACTGATTCTGGCAAAAAAATGGAAAACAATAGAGGTACCTTCTGTTGAAGAGTGGATCTGGAAATTAGTTGATATGATGAGTATGGATCTGTTAACTGCTAGATTAAAAAGACAAAATCTACACAAAGTAGAATGGGATTGGGCTCCAATACTACTATACTGTGAGAAGGTGAACTTAAATTTATTGAGACGCTAATTGTATGAATTGAGATAGAGTGATCAAAACAA